TATCGCTGGACTGTTAATCCAGAGTTCTGGGGACCTGGATTCAAATCCTGCCATGGCAGATGGTGGAATTTGAATTCAATGAATATCTAAAATTAAGAATCTAGTGATGACCATGAATCCATTGACAATTGTCGAGTGGTTCACTAATGTCCTTTAGGGAAGGAAACTGCCATCCTTACCTGGTCTGGCCTACATTTGACTTTCATATCCACAGCAATGTGGTTGACTCTCAACTGCTCTCTGGGCAATTAGGGATGGGCAATAAATGCTGGCCTGGCCAGCGATGCCCACATCCTGTTAATGAATAAAGAATCTGCCCCTGCCTCCTCGCTTGAATGAGATGAGTCTGCTTTTCCTGAGTGTGGGTGTTACTAGTTCATAGAACATTACAGCGCAGTACAGGCCCTTCGGCCCTCGATGAGGGTTCAGTAACTTTCTGGACATCAAGCAAGTGTGAATACCCAGTGTAACAAGCCCTTAGCTCTTTCTCATTCGTTTTCTACTGGGAACTCAGACGTTTTTGGAAACACAGCAGCACGACCACTGCAATTGATTTTGTGCTGGAGCTGCTTTAGCTCACATTCCAGGAGTCAGTGAACAGGCTCCCTGGTGTTGTGCTGCAAAATCCAGCCCTTTTATTATAATAGTATCCCAGACCCACTTTTCCACGGAAAACCAGGACCAGTTTGACGGATGTAGATTTCCCAGAATCCGGACCAAAATAACACCGGCATTAAAGCAGCTGAAGAGCAGCAACTACTTGGTGGGTCATTGTTGTTTCTTGCCACAATATAAACAAAAGTTCTTTTAAATTGTGGACAAGATCATTTGTGTCCTTCAGCAACTTTCTGTCTCTGAACCATCTGCTGCGAAGGTACTTTAAAATCGCTAACAGCATTCTTCCCTTAATGCCATTTGTCTTGCCATCTGCTCCTATTGGGGCCCGTAAAAAAAAAATGAAAAAGTTGCCCCAGGAGATGGTATCTCTTGAGTTGCATACATGTGGTAATAGCTCAGACAGACAAAACTCCTCATACTCTTTGCCATCAGAGACTCCTTTACGTCAGTAGTGAAGCCATGTTTAAAAGGACGCTCAGATACCAATGTCTTGCAATAAAGTGCATCTAAAACTTTGATATCAGCTGCATTCCCGCTGCAGTTCTGCACGGAAGAATCGACATTGAACAAAAATCATTGCTTAATTTCCTCTCCGTCAAGCAGCAAAACTGAGGCAAATTTTTATCACCAACCCCCTCACCACCATATCAAGTGGCATCAACTCAGCAGCTCACATCGATGAAATTTCTTGAGCCATACTATTTGCTTTAGTCTTGTGTATATTTTAGATGCAGAACTTCACATTAATAATGTTACAAAATACTTTATGAGCAGTTCATAACATAGAATCCCTACAGTGTGCAAACAGGCCCTTCGGCCCAACAAGTCCATACTGACCCTCAGAGCATCCCACCCAGACCCATCCCCCTATAACCCACCTAATCTGCACATCCCTGAACACTACGGGCAATTTAGCACGGCCAATCTACCTAGCCTGCACATCTTTGGACTGTGGGAGGAAACCCACACAAACATGGGGAGAATGTGCAAACTCCACACAGACAGTTGCCCAAGGGTGGACTCAAACCGGGGTCCCTGGCGCTGTGAGGCAGCAGTGCTAACCACTGAGCCACCGTGCCATCCCTCATAGTATGGAAAATTGCTTGACTGTGATTGTGTGTTGGAAGTTAGGATGTGAACTGCAAACCTTTGGACTAACTGAAGTTTACACAGGGTACAATGTGGTAGGCCAGCCAGGAGGGTGTTGGCACAGTTGAGTCAAAGGCATGAATGACGGGTTTCAGTCGTAGATAGGGGTGAACTTGAGCAATGTTAAATGAAGTGGGGCAAAGATGGTCTTGGCGATGGCAAGAAAATGAGGTCGGAAGCTGATCTCAGGATCAAATGTGACAACAGGGTTTCAAAAAGACTGACTTAATCTCAGACTGTCACCAGGGAGGGAGATGGAATCGGAGCAGGAGTGATACCAACCGTGGCACCTTCTGCCTTTTCCTCAACTACATCCCACACCATAGGGCAGGAGGGATGGACACCAAGATCCAACTGGAAGGAGGTGAGATCCAATTAACCCCCACCCCACTGCTGAACCCACAAACATCTCAGCTGTGCAGCACTGTCCACCAGCAGAGGGTCAGCTTTTCTTCAACATGTGGGACAAGTTTAGTTTGGGATTATAGTCAGCATGGACTAGTTGGACTGAAGGGTCTGTTTCTGAGCTGTATGACTCCATATCTGAGCACTAGTGCCTCAGTGAGCTAAGGCTCTCACGGCTGGTAGTTACTGGTATCTGCAGCCTCCTCACATAAGATGGCCTCCCAGGAGCTAGATGTGTTTGCAATGCCCAACGGTTGACAAAGTGATTGGATTCCTACCCAGACTGTGAACAGCATCCAGCCAAATTGTCTACTCCCCTCTCCTGCTTAAAGGAAGCAAGAAGGTGTCAATATTCATAATGGCTCTTGTGGACACCACTTATAGAGGTTGACGGCTAACATATCGAAGATGTGTCCTGACTGTTCTGTTAGGAATGTGAGATGAGAGAATGAGTGGACATGCAAAGAGTATTGACTTGAAATGAATGCTGGGCAAATCAAAATGTGGAGATTAGCATCTCAGAGCGTTACACCATTCACTCGTCACATCTTCCTAAAGTGCTGGATCCTGGAGGAGACTCACCACTGCTGCCGGATTCCTCAGCTGTCTCAATCCACGCCCATTTGCATGGAGAAATTGTTCTCTCCTCCCACCTTTTGGAGTTCACCTCAACACAGCTCTTCAGCTACACCTCCAGATAGAAGTAGGCAATCCAGGGGTCAGTCTTTCCTAGCGTCCTCTGGAAACATGTGGGTATTTCAGTATCAAAAGTCCAACTGCTGGAGAGCTTTTCTGAAACATTTCAGAAAACGAATGGCTATCACCTCCCAGCTAACCTCCCAAATTGGTTCTGACGCCCAGAGGCTAACTCATCATTTTTCTTGCTCTGGCAAAGCTAATGTGGATATTACAGTTGTGACATGAAAATGTTCCTGCCATTTCCCCAAAAGCTAAAACAGCAACAGTATGGCTATGGGCTCAAACACCCAAGGACTTGATTTCAGTTTCTTCACGGATTTATAATTTATTTCACACTGCAACCGTTGACTTCCTATAACTTTTAGTCAACACGGGAGGCAGTAGTCAACATTGAACTGTTTTATGTCCAAATGTGTACTCTTAACGACAAACACAAAAAGAATCAACCCAATTCCTCCAGTGTGATTCTAGTTAAATTATTTCTCAATGTGCTATTGACCTGTAGCTTTTTTGATTAACTTTTTAGTGCATCTCTTCCATATCCTAATTCCCCCACCTCTTTCGGTGTCTCAGTCTGAGTTCAGGCTCTCCAATATCCTGTTTAGCTATTGTTTTGTGGAGCCTTAGCAATGCGTCATATACATGTGATGGTGGGAGGCATCAAGCTGGAGGTCAATTCTATCCTTCCTGAAAATGCATCCACTTGTAGATTTTCCAGCAATCATAAGCAGGAATTCGCAGATTTTTTCTTACTGTCGTGCCATTCTCTCTCACATTCACTAACTCAATGACAGAAATCAATGTTAGAAAACTCACCGTCAGTAGGTTTAAGTTTTAACATCAAATGATAAGTTGTAATGCTTGAGTGCATAATCTTTAAATAATGAAATAAGGGGCACGGTGTGTCAGTTGTGCACAATCCCAATCAAGAGCAGCCTGATGAATGCTGTAGATATTTGGATGCAAGTCCCACCTCATGCCAGTTGCCAGTTTTAGTTTTCTGTTGCAACGTGCATTCATTTACTTTTCAGGAAGTGTAGGATAGTTAGTGAAAGTAAAAGTGTTAGAATCAGTCCATTCAAAACTTAAGCAACTATATGGAAGTAGGAAGTGCAATCAATTTAACTTCCTCAAAATGATAGTGTGGTCAAACGGAAGAAAAACTCTTATAGAGATAAGTAATAGATTATAGAAATGTTTAACAGCTGTCATTTAGTACCCTTCCCCCTATCCATTTGGCACTGTACCATAATACCATTACCTTTTATCACAGTTGTGATCAATAACACCGCCTGCTTTCGAAGCAACTAAATCTTGATATCCGCAAACAGATTTTTCAGTAAATGTAAAAATATTCCAGTGGAAGAACTAAATAGCTTGTTCATTAGCCAAATTCTTGGTGTGGTTAGCCACTCTATTCAATAGCTGCCTCCTCACAGCCTCATTCAATCCCCACATACTTTCGCTGTCTATTCAATTCATTCATTTAATAGTATTCCCACCCTTTCCAAAACCATCACCATCTGGCTTTCAGTCCTTCCTTTTGCCAAGTCAGAACTTCTCCTGGTTGCTTTTTAGAATTTTTTTTTGCCTGAAAGTCCTCCAAATCCTTTCACTTAAGGTGGAACAAATGGAAGTTACTATTAATGAATCAGAAATACGGGACTATAACAACGTAAGATTTAAAGTTATCAATAAAACTTCAAACCATACATCGTTACTCTTAATTTATATTCCCCCACCCACAGACTGTTGGATAGATTAGGATTGAGCAATAACAGGACTTTAGTGCCAGCCACATTTTGGTTGGGCCCAGTTCCAACTTAACATAAAAATTACTGAATCCCTCCCTATCTGCACTTCAGTTTTTGGCTCCCACAAACTACTTTGCTGTAAGTGAATTCGCAAATGGCAAAGTCACGAATAGCGGGATTTATTGTAATTAAATCTTACACAACTAAATACAATAGCATTGACACAAGACTTGTTTTGGATCATAATCAAACTTGAACTTTTGTCAAAAACACCAACTGTATTTCGGAGTCACTTCACCTTCGAACAGCATTGCCAGACATTTATTAGTATTTCAGTTGCAGTCCGCAAACTACAGACACCATCACAAGAGGTAATTAATTTCATAGGATTTATTTTCATAAACGTGAGGTATTTCAAAAGTGCTATAAGTTGCAGCACTATATGTACATTATGAAAAACACATAACTCAGCCAATTACCCAGTTCTATGAACCCAACAGCAACACAAACAAGAGAGAGGCTAGGTAAAGGCATATATAGTAATTTCTGTACAAAAGAAATTTTAGTCAAAAAAGTGATAAAGTAATATCTACTCAAACCTTTCACAACTCATTTTCATACGAAAATATAGGTATCAAATTTAGTCATGTATCAGCATCACACTAAGGATACAGGCAGTGTAAGAATTAGTACAGTACATAACAAAGATTAACAAGAAGTCTTTATAGGAAAAGTTCATGCTCCTCAAACTTTGAGTTATTATTCTGTATAAAATTCCAGTCCAAAAAAACGGCAGCACAGGCTGTGGCTCTTTTTTCTTAACCAGACCATCACATGAAAAAGGCAGTTGTTAAACTGGTATTTACATAGGTTTTGAAAGAGGCAATCAATAAGCCTTCTCAAAAAGGATCTCCATTGACAAGACACAGGTACCTCTAAAGCTTCGTAAGTATTTTTGTTCCATGTTTAAATGCGGCTGGATTGATAACCAGAAAAAAAAACTCCGAAACATTCTTGACGTCTAAAATGTGCAAAAGTGGCATTCAACCAGTTGGGACAGCCTTAGTTTTAGCGAGTCCTCACTTCCTCCAGTCTCTTTACTAGCAGTTGCTGCTTGGCTTTCAGTTTCTCTTTTTCCGACAACAGTTTCTGCTCCTCCGACTGCAGGGCCTGCACGTACTCAGTGGCCTTTTTCAGAATGATGACCTTTGCCGCCTTGTCGTTTTTCACAAGTTCTGGTATTTGGTCCCGTAAGGTGAGGAAGCTGGAGCGGAGGTCATTCCGTCGCTGGCGCTCCAGGATGTTGTGGGTGCGTCGTCGTTCGTTGTCTTCGGAGTCGGATCCACGGGGGCTCGCGCTTTTGGACCTAGGGGGCGCCACCTGCTTGGCGAGGCGCACTGTTTCGCTCTTCACCTTCTTCAGGGGTGGCATCTCGTCGCATTCTGCATAGGGTGAGGGGGCGGCGTAGTTGTGCTGTTGGTGTATAGGTGCACACCTTTTCATCAGAGACGCGTTGTGGTTCTTGGATGACCCGCAGCTCGCGTTGTGAGAGCGCACAGTCACTGTAAGGGTAGTCACATGCTTGCTGGATGACGATCGCCGCTTCTCAACTGTTACCACATCAATTTCTTCTTCCTCTTCCTCCTCTTCTTCCTCCTCCTCCTCTTCATCTTCTTCTTCCTCTTCCTCATCGTCATCCTCATCTTCTCCTGTAAACATACGAAAGCAAATAAAAGGTCAAGAACAGAAGTCAAGCGCACTTTAGATAAACAAACATACATCATTTGCCCAAGTGAATGCTTAAAACTTATGGCAAAGTTTAATGCGTTTAAAATGGGCCAGAGATGAAACCTCATTTCGTCAAGAATACAGAGCCTGCCTATGGGTGACTATTAGCCCATCGTGCCACAGTCAAAGCTTCTCCTTCTTCTTCTACTGTTACTTTTTCTCTGGTGGCCAATCTATCTTTTCCTGCACAACTGGAAGGTTTCCCTCACACAGAAAGTGCACCAGATCACTTGGAAAAATACACCAGCTCTCACAGCTATAGAACCGGAGGCATTTATCTGCTTAGGCAGGAAAAAAATAGGACTTACTTCCCTTTTGAGTATCAAAGGACAGAAAAAAGATATTTGTGGGAGGCAGCCAGAAACAGTCAGCAATGAAAGGAAAATATTTATTCAAAATACCCGTAACTCCACCAACTACTGCTTTCACTTTGAGAAGCTTCATGGCATTTTGAAGCTTTTTAAGCCAATACACAACTAATTTTACACATATGATATATATATATATTTTATATATATGGAATGAAGTAAATAACTTAAATAAAGCAGAAGTTGCTGGAAAAGCTCAGCAAGTCTGGCAGCATCGCTGAAGAAAAAAAATCAGTTAACGTTTCAGGTCCGGTGACCTCTCCTCAGTTCTGATTTTTTCTTCACAGATGCTGCCAGACTTGCTGAGCTTTTCCAGCAACTTCTGTTTTTGTTACTGATTTACAGCATCCGCAGTTCTTTCGGTTTATATTTGATATTAGAATTGTTGTTTCAACTGTGTTTTGTGCAGGAATTTCTGTCATTCCGCTCAAACAGTCTGCTATTTAAAATAAAGGCCATGATTGAACTGTAAAAACACAGCAACACGGAGGAGGAATGTGGGGATTAACATAGATCAAAACCATTGTATTAACACATTAATCATAATTGCTGATTCACATTCCGTGTCCCATCCACCAGGAAAGAGATCTGCCACAAACATTTACTGCAGGAACCAGAGGCTAATTCATGGAACTGCTCTAGATGACAGGACAAAGTGCTTTCGTTTCCCAGAGCCAAGTATTCAGCAGACAGCTGTTGGGAAGAAGGACGGACTGAACCTGAGCTGTCAGAGAACTATACACCGAAGCATGTCTCACTTTAACCTCCAACATCAGCGATGCTACCCACAATCATTTCAATGGATACACCACCATTAGACTGTGCAGCGAAAATATGTTTAAAAGTGGATCCATTCATTTCCTTGATCAGTCCATAGTATGGGCTTATTGTGCCATCTGCCAATCCACTAATATAAGCCACAATTCTGAAACCCAGCCTGAAATCATTCCCGTCTTATAATATTAATTGATTTAGGTTTTCTCTAATAAATATGTTAGGGATATCCAAATTGCAGACACAGCCCTTGAAACTCAATCAACTCAATTCTATTTCGGCTTCTATTTCTTGCTTGCTGATTTATCCCCTTTAAATTGTACCGGCGCTTGGGGTTGGAAATTTCAATGCTTTGGCCTTGATTGTTGGATGAATCCCAGATCGGAACAGAATCCTAAATCAGAACATCATGCTTCACACATGTTGTCTGTGAGGCTACCTGAAATAATTCAATCACAGAATCTTTAGGACCACTGGCACAAATGAACTCGATATTCTAAGGTGGCAAAAAAGAACATTCTCATTGTTCTCACAGAGCAATACTAAAGTTTAGAGATAAGCTTCTAGGAAAGGCAATGCCTGTGGAGTAGCTATAAGGTGGGCCTCCCAGCCTCTCTGTACTTTTCTTTAAATCTGCCACCACTTTCAAAAGTTAAATCCCTGGGTTAAGTAAAATGCTCAAGGGTTACATTTGCTGATTGCATGTTTATGGAACTTCAGAGTTTCAAAGTCATGCTGTGGAATTCCAAGAACTCCGTTCCCCATGGCCTTCTGCAATTACCCTTGATTAATGGGACTATTTCAGTACAAAGGTGCACAGGTACTGCAACTATCACATCTGGTAGCTTTTCCTGGCAGCAATCAAAAGCTGACTGCAATCTCCAGGTAGGAAATTCTCTCTAGATTAAATAAAAGTATAATCCTGGGAAATCTGTATTAAGATGAAATCACTGGTTATAAAATTAACCCATCCAAAAACTACTTTATTTGTACCCAGAAAAAGAGAGGAAACATTTCATGTTGGAACAGCAGCACAAAAAAAAATCATGTCTTGGACCAAAGACAAATGAAGCACACTGCCACCTGTTGGAGAACTAGCAGCTCAATCTCTCGGGACTGTATTTTATTTCAGGCCGGTAATTCAAAACTGATTCATGTGTCTCCTCCACAGCAATTTGAGGATATCCCCTCCCCTCCCCTCCCCATTCAGGCAGACTGATGAAATTAACACAAGAAGGTGGCAGCTGAAACGAACTTCATGGATCTGTATTCATTAACATTTCTGCCACTTGGTTAAACTGGTGAACTAAAGTCTTTGTCATCTGCAGTCCTTGCTGGGTTGATTCCCTGTGCACTCCCCTCTATCCCTCCCTGACTTCCCTCACCAACTGACAAGTCTGGGGAACAGCAGAGTTAATAATGAGGCTGGCATCTTGTTAGGCAATTGAGGGAGGGTGGGTTGAAGGGTGGTGATACAGATAAGTACATATTATGTTTGCATGTACATTACTGCAGACTCTGCCTACACTTCGGTGTCTGTGTGAGATACTAAGTCAGCAATAGAAGTGGATGGATTTTAAACATTGCATTCGGGTGTTTGCATGGAAATACCGCAGTCTGCAACCCAGCTGTCGTTCTGCATTCATTCTGGTAGTTGCCATTCAAAACTGCCAAGTCCTTCCCATGAGTTGCAATGGGGGAGTGTAAATGTTGCAGTTTGACAGACACAGGGCAGATCTGGGGGAAGAAAGGGGGCAAATCTGGAAAAGAAACTTGGTTATTTATCAAACATCAAAGGAAGGAGGAAGGTAAGAGGAGGGACAGAGGTAGGAGGAGGATGGAGGTAGATAGGGTGGAGGGAGGAGGAAGGAATGGAAGGAGAGGGGGATGGAGGGACGGTGGAAGGAGGAAGTGGGAAGGAGGGAGAGGAGGCAGGGATAGGAGGAGGTAGGGATAGGAGGAGGAGGGAGAGATAGGAGGAGGAAGGAGGGGTTGAGGGAGAGATACGAGGAGGAGGGAGGGATAGGATGAGGAAGGAGGGACAGGATGAGGAAGGAGGGACAGGAATGAGGTAGGAGGGATTGAGGGAGGAATACGAGGAAGAGGGGGAGGAATAGGAGGGAGGAAGGGAGAGGGGGAGGGATAGGAGGGAAGAAGAGGGTGGAGGGAT